GTCAGATTTCATCAGAATTAATTCTCTCTAGGCGAATTAGTTGATTTGATTGGGTATTGATAAAGAATCTTGATCCTTATAAGAATTAATTCGCTCAAGGCGAAGAAATTTGACTTTGTTTATTTATCGCTTTGAGCGATAGTATTTGATTATTGCTCTAGGCATAAACCAAATTTCACATAAATTTTAATTGTTTGATTTTGAATAATCAATTGATAAACGTTAAGTCGACCACTTAACTACTCGAGGATGTACATCCTATTATTTATATAATGTTTAAATTAATTATTAAAAAGTATTTAAATACTATTTATAACGCATAACTAACTAACCTAAATTAGTTTTAGAATCTAATAACTAAATTACTTAACTAAAACTAATAACAATATTTTTTATTTTCATTGTTTTTGAACTTTTTGTATTTTTGACTAGGATTAAAATTAATCTAATAAGAAGAAAAGAGAAATTAAAACGTAAACTAGAATGGGAGTGTTAATAGAAAGTGGTGTAAAAGTAGAAGGGTTAATAGTCGGTTCACCCTGCTATTTGGGCAAATTTTGAAAAAAAACCTTGTAAAAAAATAAATTAGATTCTCACCCTATAATTTAAAGATTTCACTCTTTTGAACCTTCATTAGATCAATTCACTCAAAAGGCTTACTGGCTTTGACATGTTGGTATTTTTTAAAATGATAACATTTCCTTAAATACATATGTCATTTATTTATTTTATTGAAAACATTTTAACACTTAAATTACTATGAACCCTAATTTGAGATCTTGTCATCGTGTTCTTCTTCCTCCTTCATAATCCATTCCCTCGCCTCTTTCATTCTTCATTCTTACATGCAAACAAACAACCCTAAAAATCCAGATAGGAAGAAATCTATATATCAAGCTGCCATGAACCTTGAATCTAACACCAATAATAACACGCACCATAAATCCAAAATATAAGTAGTAACAGATACATACGTTTTTGTTCTCTCTCATTTTGACGAAGAAAAAACTTTTCTATGGACCAAAAAGTGGAGTAGATCTTAACCAAGTTCGACAAAAAAACCGCATACAAAAAGATCTCTTCCTCCGAGGTGAAGGAAATGCTTTTAAAGTTTGGATCCAAAATCCCCTCCAAAGAAGTGAAACTCATCAAGGTGGAAATCGAGGACATAGATTAGATATGAAGAAAAAACCACCTCCAAAGAAGTGAAACCCATAAATACTTTCAAGCTTGAACGTATGTAGCTTGAACGTATGTGACGATGTAGGGTGCTATTCGGGTTCTGAAATAGCTTTGGTTTTGAAGGTTCTAACAATGGATGTGTTTCTCACTTTGGTTAAGAGGATAGGAAGAAGAAAGTGGTTGATGAGTTAGTTCAAAAGAATGGTTAATTTGTTGGTTCTTCTCACTTTTATTCCTCTGTTTTCACTCTTTTTATTGTTTCATGGAAAATCAAAACTGCCAAAAGTGACAGATGTGAAATGTATTTTTGACAACAGTAAAATCAAGATATTATAAGATTTGGCCAATTTATTTTTAGATCTTTTAGAGTTGTAGTGTTACAGAATTGTTTATTTAATTATTTTTTTTGAAGATGGTGATGGATGAGTTTATAAATGTTTTAGGTTGAAAATAAAGATGGATGAGTTTATCCACTTTTTAGGTTGAAAATGAAGATGGATGAGTTTATCCACTTTTTGGGTTTGGATGATGATTTTGTATGCGGTGAATATGAATATAATTTTTATTTATTTAATTATTAGCCGTTAGTATTTTTTAATAATTTACAAAATGAAAAAAATATTTTCATTAAAATAAATAAATGACAAATGGATTTGAAGAACTATTTTCATTTTAAAAAATGTCAACATGTCAAAGTCAAGTAAGTCTTTGGGGTGAGATGGTATTCTAATTATGGTTCAAAAGAGTAGAATCTTTGATAGGGTGAAAATTTAATTTTTTTTATAGTGAAATTTTTTGAAAACTCGTTTAAACGATAGAGGACAAACCGACTATTAATCCAAAGTAGAAACATAAAATCAATGCCCAAATACATAAAGCCCAATAAAAAAACCCCTAATTGATTTCTCATTAATTAGAATAATAATGTCAATATAACATAAAATTAAAAAGAAGAAGTAAGTTGCAGGAATGGAGGGATCACTGTTATTAAACAAGTTTCAATTTTGAATTTTCAACCCTTATATAAGCACCAATGAGAAATTGGCACATGGCTTTAATAAACAAATAAAAATATAAAGCAAAATACAATATATACCACTTGTGAAGAAAGACATTAAAATTGGAAAAGAGAGGTTTATTCCTCTTCTTCTTCTTGCGTAAATTCCCTTCCCCTCTTCCTTTTATTTTCGAAATTTCCTTGCTTCATTTTTTTAATCTCTATTCTATTCCTTTCCTCTTAGTTATACTTTTCCAATTTCTCTCAACAGTAATTCCAATGCAAACAAAAATTAACAAAGATATAAATCACAGATATATCGCTTAGTGAAGTTCCAATCTACCGGTTGTTTCTGTTTTCAACCGAGGTATTTGTTGCTAATAGTGTGAATAATTCTAAGGTTTTGAATTTCTGATCCGCGCATATGTCTTAGCTGATAATAGGCCCCAAGATGTTTCACAGTAGTCTTGGCCTAAGAAGTTTGGAAATGTTGTGTATAATGTATATGTATAATGCCGAAATTGATATGATGCCCAATGATGATGTTATTGATATGATACCCAAGTGTTTCATATGTACATGCACCAAGAGTTTATGAATGTTTCTTATAATTCTCTCCTTTTAAATCATTGGGTTCTTTGAGTCACTAACTTCCCAACATTGCCTGTTACTGGTTGTAGTATCTCTAAGTTGATTTGTAATTGATATATTACGGTGAACGGTGTCAATAAGGCGTTTATAATTGTATCATAGACGTAGGCATAGGCGTGGATTTTCTTTGACGTTTTTCTAACCAAAATAATTTTTGATGCTTTGTCAAGTGCTTTTTTTAATGTCAAATTCCCAGAATAATTTTGACGCAGTGTTTATAAGAAATAATCATAGTATTTTGCAAGCAAGTCGGAGAAAGAAAAAAACACAATTGAACAATATTCGAAAAGATTGAAAAATAAATTGTATTATTAATGAAAATGCCTTTGAACAGAAAAGGTATAAGATGTAATTCCTAAAAAGAGGTAATTACAAAAGTTTTTAACAAGATTGAAAAATGGTAATAAAAATGATAATTGATATTGCTAGTTCTCCAACATTCCTTGATATCCCCAATATCCTTTGCTTCTGAGTCAAATGAATTAGATTAATCCTTCCTATTGTTCGTGGTTGTAGTAATGAATTCTCGAACCACAGTCTATTTGTTCATTTTTTGAAACAAAAAACCCCAACTTTTTCCTAGATCTTCATTTCGGGTTTTTAATTCACCGGGATAATAATTTTGTTTATATGTCCCTAATTTTTTCCTGATAGCCCTTTTGGGTTTTCAATCTATCGGGACGCCCCTTTTTTCCTAAGTCGTTGTCGTAACCGACAAAAGATAAGAGTCGTGACCATTAATTTTTATCTTAGGGATGGGGAAATAACGAGTATCCCTAACTTGTACATAAATTTTAAGTTCACGAGTTGGTTAGACGAAGGGAAGGTGTTAGGCGCCCTTCATCTCCCTTGTTCTTAAGGGGCATCCTATTTTAGGTCGTAGGGTAAATCGGGAATTTCTATTTAAAAGTTAATGTTTCCATATGTTTGAGAAAATGTTTAATTTTTTAGTTATAGAACTCGTCTTGGTTTTAACCGCATACCTACGTATCTCCTTGCGAATAATCAGAGTCCAAATTCGTAGTTCGAATGTTTGGTTGGTTTTTTTTTATAGGATTGCGTAGAATTACTTTCGAATTTATCCTTGAACCTTGTCCGGGTTTTGTAAAAGATTGATCGTAGACGCAGTTCATAGTTTTGATTTGAAAGCAATGTTACTTAATCCTTTATTGAAAAATGATCTTGAATTATGTTAGTAAAAATGATTTGAGTTGTTGGTTAGCAGTTTTAGATTAATTTTAAATCATCGAAGAAGGTCAGATTTCATCAGAATTAATTCGCTCTAGGCGAATTAGTTGATTTGATTGGGTATTGATAAAGAATCTTGATCCTTATAAGAATTAATTCGCTCAAGGAGAAGAAATTTGAATTTGTTTATTTGTCGCTTTGAGCGATAGTATTTGATTATTGCTCTAGGCATAAACTGAATTTCACATAAATTTTAATTGTTTGATTTTGAATAATCACTTGATAAACGTTAAGTCGACCACTTAACTACTCGAGGATGTACATCCTATTATTTATATAATGTTTGAATTAATTATTAAAAAGTATTTAAATAATATTTATAATGCATAACTAACTAACATAAATTAGTTTTAGAATCTAATAACTAAATTACTTAACTAAAACTAATAACAATATTTTTTATTTTCATTGCTTTTGAACTTTTTGTATTTTTGACTAGGATTAAAATTAATCTATTAAGAAGAAAAGAGAAATTAAAACCTAAACTAGAATGGGAGTGTTAATAGAAAGTGGTGTAAAAGTAGAAGGGTTAATAGTGGGTCCCCCCCTGCTATTTGGGCAAATTTTGAAAAAAAACCTTGTAAAAAAATAAATTAGATTCTCACCCTATAATTTAAAGATTTCACTCTTTTGAACCTTCATTAGATCAATTCACTCAAAAGGCTTACTGGCTTTGACATGTTGGCATTTTTAAAATGATAACATTTCCTTAAATACATCTGTCATTTGTTTATTTTATTGAAAACATTTTAACACTTAAATTACTATGAACCCTAATTTGAGATCTTGTCATCGTGTTCTTCTTCCTCCTTCATACTCCATTCCCTCGCCTCTTTCATTCTTCATTCTTACCTGCAAACAAACAACCCTAAAAATCCAGATAGGAAGATATCAATATATCAAGCTGCCATGAACCTTCAATCTAACACCAACAACAACACGCACCATAAATCCAAAATATAAGTAGTAACAAATACATAAATTTTTGTTCTCTCTCATTTTGACGAAGAAAAAACTTTTCTATGGACCAAAAAGTGGAGTAGATCTTAACCAAGTTCGACAAAAAAACCGCATACAAAAAGATCTCTTCCTCCGAGATGAAGGAAATGCTTTTAAAGTTTGGATCCAAAATCCCCTCCAAAGAAGTGAAACACATCAAGGAGGAAATCGAGGACATATATTAGATATGAAGAAAAAACCACCTCCAAAGAAGTGAAACCCATAAATACTTTCAAGCTTGAATGTATGTAGCTTGAACGTATGTGACGATGTAGGATGCTATTCGGGTTCTGCAAATAGCTCAGGTTTTGAAGGTTCTAACAATGGATGTTTTTCTCACTTTGGTTAAGAGGATAGGAAGAAGAAAGTGGTTGATGAGTTGGTTCAAAAGAATGGTTTATTTGTTGGTTCTTCTCACTTTTATTCCTCTGTTTTCACTCTTTTTATTGTTTCATGGAAAATCAAAATTGCCAAAAGTGACAGATGTGAAATGTATTTTTGAAAACAGTAAAATCAAGATATTATGAGTTTTGGCCTATTTATTTTTAGATCTTTTAGAGTTGTAGTGTTACAGAATTGTTTATTTAATTTTTTTTTTGAAGATGGTGATGGATGAGTTTATGAATTTTTTAGGTTGAAAATGAAGATGGATGAGTTTATCCACTTTTTAGGTTGAAAATGAAGATGGATGAGTTTATCCACTTTTTGGGTTTGGATGATGATTTTGTATGCGGTGAATATGAATGTAATTTTTATTTATTCAATTATTAGCCGTTAGTATTTTTAATAATTTACAAAATGAAAAAAATATTTTCATTAAAATAAATAAATGACAAATGGATTTAAAGAACTATTTTCATTTTAAAAAATGTCAACATGTCAAAGTCAAGTAAGTCTTTTGGGTGAGATGGTCTTCTAATGAGGGTTCAAAAGAGTAGAATCTTTGATAGGGTGAAAATTTAATTTTTTTTATAGAGAAATTTTTTCAAAACTCTTTTAAACGATAGAGGACAAACTGACTATTAGTCCAAAGTAGAAACATAAAATCAATGCCCAAATACATAAAGCGCAATAAAAAAAACCCTAATTGATTTCTCATTAATTAGAATAATAATGTCAATATAACATAAAATTACAAAGAAGAAATAAGTTGCAGGAATGGAGGGATCACTGTTATTAAACAAGTTTCAATTTTGAATTTTCAACCCTTATATAAGCACCAATGAGAAATTGGCACATGGCTCTAATAAACAAATAAAAAATATAAATCAAAATACAATATATACCACTTGTGAAGAAAGACATTAAAATTGGAAAAGAGAGGTTTATTCCTCTTCTTCTTCTTGCGTAAATTCCCTTCTCCTCTTCCTTTTATTTTCGAAATTTTCTTGCTTCATTTTTTTAATCTCTATTCTCTTCCTTTCCTCTCAGTTATACTTTTCCAATTTATCTCAACAGTAATTCCAATGCAAACAAAAATTGACAAAGATATAAATCACAGATATATCGCTTAGTGAAGTTCCAATCTATCGGTTGTGTCTTTTTTCAACCGAGGTATTTGTTGCTAATAGTGTGAATAATGCTAAGGTTTTGAATTTCTGATTCGCGCATATGTCTTAGCTGATAATAGGCCCCAAGATGTTTCACAGTAGTCTTGGCCTAAGAAGTTTGGAAATGTTGTGTATAATGTATATGTATAATGCCCAAATTGGTATGATGCCCAATGATGATGTTATTGATATGATACCCAAGTGTTTCGTATGTACATGCACCAAGAGTTTATGAATGTTTTTTATAATTCTCTCCTTTTAAATCATTGGGTTCTTTGAGTCACTAACTTCCCAACATTGCCTGTTACTGGTTGTAGTATCTCTAAGTTGATTTGTAATTGATATATTACGGTGAACGGTGTCAATAAGGCGTTTATAATTGTATCATAGACGTAGGCGTGGACGTAGGCATAGGCGTGGATTTCCTTTGACGTTTTTCTAACCAAAATAATTTTTGATGCTTTGTCAAGTGCTTTTTTTAATGTCAAATTCCCAGAATAATTTTGACGCAGTGTTTACAAGAAATAATCATAGTATATTGCAAGCAAGTCGGAGAAAGAAAAAAACACAATTGAACAATATTCGAAAAGATTGAAAAATAAATTGTATTATTAATGAAAATGCCTTTGAACAGGAAAAGGTACAAGATGTAATTCCTAAAAAGAGGTAATTACAAAAGTTTTTTACAAGATTGAAAAATGGTAATAAAAATGATAATTGATATTGCTAGTTCTCCAACATTCCTTGATAGCCCCAATCTCCTTTGCTTCTGAGTCAAATGAATTAGATTAATCCTTCCTATTGTTCGTGGTTATAGTAATGAATTCTCGAACCACAATGTATTTGTTCATTTTTTGAAACAAAAAACCCCAACTTTTTCCTAGATCTTCATTTCGGGTTTTTAATTCACCGGGATGATAATTTTGTTTATATGTCCCTAATTTTTTCCTGATAGCCCTTTAGGGTTTTCAATCTATCGGACGCCCCTTTTTTCCGAAGTCGTTGTCGTAACCGACAAAAGATAAGAGTCGTGACCATTAATTTTTATCTTAGGGATGGGGAAATAACGAGATCCCTAACTTGTACGTAAATTTTAAGTTCACGAGTTGGTTAGACGAAGGGAATGTGTTAGGCGCCCTTCATCTCCCTTGTTCTTAAGGGGCATCCTATTTTAGGTCGTAGGGTAAATCGGGAATTTCTATTTAAAAGTTAATGTTTCCATATGTTTGAGAAAATGTTTAATTTTTTAGTTATAGAACTCGTCTTGGTTTTAACCGCATACCTACGTATCTCCTTGCGAATAATCAGAGTCCAAATTCGTAGTTCGAATGTTTGGTTGGTTTTTTTTATAGGATTGCGTAGAATTGCTTTCGAATTTATCCTTGAACCTTGTCTGGGTTTTGTAAAAGAGTGATCGTAGACGCAGTTCGTAGTTTTGATTTGAAAGCAATGTTACTTAATCCTTTATTGAAAAATGATCTTGAATTATGTTAGTAAAAATGATTTGAGTTGTTGGTTAGCTGTTTTAGATTAATTTTAAATCATCGAAGAAGGTCAGATTTCATCAGAATTAATTCTCTCTAGGCGAATTTGTTGATTTGATTGGGTATTGATAAAGAATCTTGATCCTTATAAGAATTAATTCGCTCAAGGCGAAGAAATTTGACTTTGTTTATTTATCGCTTTGAGCGATAGTATTTGATTATTGCTCTAGGCATAAACCAAATTTCACATAAATTTAAATGTTTGATTTTGAATAATCACTTGATAAACGTTAAGTCGACCACTTAACTACTCGAGGATGTACATCCTATTATTTATATAATGTTTGATTTAATTATTAAAAAGTATTTAAATACTATTTATAACGCATAACTAACTAACCTAAATTAGTTTTAGAATCTAATAACTAAATTACTTAACTAAAACTAATAACAATATTTTTTATTTTCATTGTTTTTGAACTTTTTGTATTTTTGACTAGGATGAAAATTAATCTAATAAGAAGAAAAGAGAAATTAAAACCTAAACTAGAATGGGAGTGTTAATAGAAAGTGGTGTAAAAGTAAAAGGGTTAATAGTCGGTTCCCCCCTGCTATTTGGGCAAATTTTGAAAAAAAACCTTGTAAAAAAATAAATTAGATTCTCACCCTATAATTTAAAGATTTCACTCTTTTGAACCTTCATTAGATCAATTCACTCAAAAGGCTTACTGGCTTTGACATGTTGGCATTTTTTTAAATGATAATATTTCCTTAAATACATCTGTCATTTATTTATTTTATTGAAAACATTTTAACACTTAAATTACTATGAACCCTAATTTGAGATCTTGTCATCGTGTTCTTCTTCCTCCTTCATACTCCATTCCCTCGCCTCTTTCATTCTTCATTCTTACCTGCAAACAAACAACCCTAAAAATCCAGATAGGAAGAAATCAATATATCAAGCTGCCATGAACCTTCAATCTAACACCAACAACACGCACCATAAATCAAAAATATAAGTAGTAACAGATACATAAATTTTTGTTCTCTCTCATTTTGACGAAGAAAAAACTTTTCTATGGACCAAAAAGTGGAGTAGATCTTAACCAAGTTCGACAAAAAAACCGCATACAAAAATATCTCTTCCTCCGAGATGAAGGAAATGCTTTTAAAGTTTGGATCCAAAATCCCCTCCAAAGAAGTGAAACACATCAAGGAGGAAATCGAGGACATATATTAGATATGAAGAAAAAACCACCTCCAAAGAAGTGAAACCCATAAATACTTTCAAGCTTGAACGTATGTGACGATGTAGGATGCTATTCGGGTTCTGCTAATAGCTCAGGTTTTGAAGGTTCTAACAATGGATATTTTTCTCACTTTGGTTAAGAGGATAGGAAGAAGAAAGTGGTTGATGAGTTGGTTCAAAAGAATGGTTTATTTGTTGGTTCTTCTCACTTTTATTCCTCTGTTTTCACTCTTTTTATTGTTTCATGGAAAATCAAAATTGCCAAAAGTGACAGATGTGAAATGTATTTTTGAAAACAGTAAAATCAAGATATTATGAGTTTTGGCCAATTTATTTTTAGATCTTTTAGAGTTGTAGTGTTACAGAATTGTTTAATTAATTTTTTTTTGAAGATGGTGATGGATGAGTTTATGAATTTTTTAGGTTGAAAATGAAGATGGATGAGTTTATCCACTTTTTAGGTTGAAAATGAAGATGGATGAGTTTATCCACTTTTTGGGTTTGGATGATGATTTTGTATGCGGTGAATATGAATGTAATTTTTATTTATTTAATTATTAGCCGTTAGTATTTTTTAATAATTTACAAAATGAAAAAAATATTTTCATTAAAATAAATAAATGACAAATGGATTTAAAGAACTATTTTCATTTTAAAAAATGTCAACATATTAAAGTCAAGTAAGTCTTTTGGGTGAGATGGTCTTCTAATGAGGGTTCAAAAGAGTAGAATCTTTGATAGGGTGAAAATTTAATTTTTTTTATAGATAAATTTTTTCAAAATTATTTTAAACGATAGAGGATAAACCGACTATTAATCCAAAGTAGAAACATAAAATCAATGCCCAAATACCTAAAGCGCAATAAAAAAACCCCTAATTGATTTCTCATTA